GTATTTTAATGAGAGAAGAATCTGGATTGTATATATGTACAGTAATGAATTTTTCTAGTTGATGCTCAAGTGGTGATCGATCTTTCAAAATTAAAGACATTTGTGATTAGTGAGGATAATGTGACCTACTTATTCGATGATCTATGTCAGTGTGACGGATATCAGTGTCACGGTACGTACATATAGTCATGTGGCAGTGTGACGAGCGTATATCCTCATAGTGACCAATGAGTGTGACGGACGTACATGGCAGAGATGAGATGGAAGAATAACGTTATATTTCTTCTTTCTTTTTGTCTTGTGTCTAGTTATTATAGTTTTCTTTCATTGTTACGTTTGTATAGCAAGACATGTGTTCTCAGGATAAAAAAAAGTTAAGGCGAAAGTGTCACTTTCGTACTTCATATTTGTATCGTTTTTCCTTTCGTCTGTTCCTAAGACACATTAAAAAAATAAATGAAAGATTCATGTGAGGCAAAAAGAAGCAAGCAAACGGCAAAGAAATTACAGATTTCACAAAATTTGTTATAAAAGAACGCTTTATTTTGACATTCTGATAACCACCTGATATTTTCTTTCTGCTTTCCTATGGGTACATCATCATTGTCTCACATCTCATGCTTTTTATCTTCTCCGGAGTTAACACAGACAAATTTCAGTCAACTTTTCGGTCTGGAGTAACGTGATCTTTTGGTTAAATTTTGAACATAAACCACAGATTTGAGCTTCTTTTTCTTTTAACTGCTGGACGATTTGTTAAAGTAGAAAGAACAGAAGAACTCGTTTGTGGAGATGGATAAGTGACTTGCTGTGTCATTAATGTAGGAAATGGCGTGGTAGTAGCAGACATTCGAACGATTTAGACAAAACGTTTTACAAACCAAGAAAATTTATTTGACGGGGCTAGAGTGAGAGAAGCAGGATCCAGAAAAATGTAACAGTAGTTATAAATGTTATGCTTTGTTTTCCTTCTAACTTTTGCCATTTCTTATTTTTCTTGTTCAAGGCGCTAGTAAAATATAACGCCTCATACACATGCCAAAAGGAAGAATGACTCATACTTTCACAAATTGTGAAAGTTCGTCTATTCACTTTCACTTTGTTTGAAAATATATCTAGACACTTTTATTTACTATCATGATAAATGAAAGTTTGTAAAAACGGAACAGAAATGAATAGCCACAAGATATTTTGTTTTCCATTTCGTCGCGTGTCTATACACGAAAGGAAAGGAAAGAAAAAACATCAGTGGTCGCTATATATAGCGTACGTTAGTGAATTCTTACGAACACGGTCTCATCTCTGGTACATACATATAGTCATGTGGCAGTGTGGAAAAACGTTCTCTACTACCAAGCTTTAACCGAAGACTAAGTCTAACTTTTTTATTAATTTTTGTTAAACAAATTCTTATGCTTTGATAACATGAATTGAAGAAAAACTTTAATAACGTTAAAAAAAGTCAATTACTTCTTTGTTCAAGAACCCGGACAACGCCGGGTAATTCTGCTAGTTCACTATAAAAAGACAACAAGTACACTGCAAGGTTAAAATGGACAGCCAAAGAACATGCAGAGTAGTACGAGCGAGGAATAAACAGAAAAAGGACAAATTTTCAATAAACTGAAAAATACGGGAGAGGATGAAGTCAGTGTTTTTTAATTTCACAGTGTGATTGCTTGCAGTCGTGAAGAAGCTGGAGCGACGATGGATGACGCGCGATATTGGATGAAGCGATGATGTGATGTGTAATATGTGATGTGATGCTGGGCTGAATGTCGTTGGATAATGACGATAGTAGATGATGATGTACGGAAGAGGGACGGGACGTGACGTAACGTGGAATGCCGAGAAACGTTTAAAAGCAATGACGGTATTGAGGTAAGACCGGAGACATAGGTGGATATTTCAGGGTAGTGGTAGATCGTGCAGAACCTACATTTTGCGCTGAATAATACCCTCATCTGGTCCAAAGCTCCGTACTTATCCTCCGATTTGGATCACCTTTTACATTATTTGAATCAAACTTTTCCTACTCTTCCCTATCTTTCTATCTTCGGCCTCATTGTGGGGTTGTAGCTTTGATTCTTGTCTTCTGCGTCACAGCGGTTCTTTACATCATTCGCAGTTCTTTAAAGCGTGTCATATTCCCTCAGCTTAAAATCGGTATCTCTGACGGTATTTCTTTGCCTAACACCGCATCGCAATCCTGAGTGTTCTTCCTGCATTGCATTGTGCGTCATATCTATTGATTTTTGTGTCCTGGTTTTTTTCAGGCCTGCTCTTTCTAATTTGTCTTATTCGTCTGTTATTTTTTCCGTTATTCCGGGTGCTTTTCGTCCTTTCATTTCAACTACCCAGTCCACCCATGTACACCCTATGAGGTTAGTCTCCTCGAGCTATGGCGCACCATTCCCGCAGCATATGTCTCTCACCTCTCTACTATTCTCTCGATTGAGGACACTAAAAATACGCTTTTGGCTTTCCCACAATTATATATCTCCTCGCAATTACCCTGACGCCCTCCAATGTGTCGATAAATTTGAATCCCTCGAGAGGATTTTTTTGAAGATTCAGGAAAGGTGACTACTACAAAAGAATCTGAAGTGTACATTTTGTTCAGCATAATTTACTGAGTATGTAGCCGGAATTTCCAAACTATCAGACTTTTATGCACTGAGTTAGAAGTTCCCAAAATTGCACTAGTTGTCCGAAAACGTATTTTCAGAGTTTTGTCGTCACTGTATATGTGCAACCTATTACTGTCATACATCATTCGATAGATTTCCAGCTGGACTATCTACCTTCTCGGTTAGCAATCAAAAATGACAAAAATAAATACTAAAAAATCGCCGAAAACACCTACAAAAATGGTTTTTACCGAGATAGTAGGATTAAAGGTTCCGCATACACATCTCACACCTGTAAGGCTCACAGTTCACTTCAAAGTCGTTTGTTTTGCTGTATCTTTTGGTTTAATATCACTAGACAGACAGAAAAAGTTTTCAACAAATAAAAAACTACGGTTCTTAGCCGAACTACTGCTTTGAAGTACTCAAAAGTTAACTGTTCATTTAAGCAATTTTTCTTTATCATACGATAGATCTTTTCCATAGAACTTTCCATCGCAAGTAGCTTCGAATACTGCGCAAAGCACGAGCATTCGAATGATATATAATAAGATGGTTTTCAACTACGAGTGACAGAAGAATTTACATAGAAATGTCGCTCTACATTTCGTGGTATAATGTAAATTTCTCCGAAAATAAGAACGATAGGCACTTGAAATTCAATGTGCAGGTGTATTTTTACGTGCTCTATATTGCGTGAAAGTTTCAATAAGATCCGGCACTCCGTTCAAAAGTTATGAGACTACGAAACCAAAATCCATCACAAAAAATTCATTTACAAAACCAAAACAGCAGAAGCAGCCAACTCTTCAACCATTCATATCATCGGCCAAGTAGAATTGGAAAGTAGAACTAACAATGTCAAAACAATTGTCCTAACAGAGGTAGCCACCAATTTAATTACTCAAATGCTTCTTGGTAACGACTGGATACACGCCAACAAAATTCATCTTCTAGCTGACCAAAAATGTTCCACTGAGAAATGGACAACATATTTCCGTCCGCTACGCATCTCCACCTGATCTACACTACACTACTTAGTTTTTGAGCTGATGAGGAGTTTTAATACAAAATTGATTCTAATTCCTAATACTCTATTTAATGTGAAAGACCACACTACTAAGATTCTGCTGATAAATCCATAGACTCGTCCTAGAACCTTGTCGAAAAATACGAAAGTCGGAGTCATTTCGATACATGTCCTCCATCACCTGCTTACTCATTTATGTCGTTCGACGAAGAATCAGCGAACGACACGGCAACAACAAATATCAATCTTCCTACCTTTCACTTCGTTCCTCCGCCTAATAATGGCTCTATTCTGGGAGTACGATATACGTTATTCACATTGCATCATATTCTGCTCGACAGTTGTACGTGTGTACTTCAATATTAATGCCAGTATATATAGTCTCTACTTTTGCCTATTTGTCGAAAACTTCAAATTAATTATGTCGTCTTCTTCCATTTCAAATACAACTCTTTCTTCTGCTGGTACTTCTACTTTACCGTCCGATACACATGAAAAGAAATTTTATAATGAAGTAGAAAAATATGTTAATTCGTTGTGAGAGAAATATCGAGATAAAACTTTCATAAAAAAACAAACGCGGGATGATATTTTGAAAGTTTTGTTACTTCCAAAAGGTAAAACTGAAGATTCTTCATCTGTTAAATTTAGATTCTGGTGTAGGCAAAAATTTACTATTGTGAAACTTGCTGGTATTGATGTTGTCTATTGTACAAAAAGTAAAAAACCGATTTGTGTTTATGAGTCATTGTTTAATATCATAAAAGAATGTCATGACGCCGTCTCACATGAAGGAAGAGATAAAACTTTAACAGAAGTAAATTCACATTATTCATGGGTGCCAAAGATTGTTATTGAAATTTATCTCAAAACGTGTGTAGCATGTCAAGTACGAAAACCATTGAAACATCCAGCTGTATCGAAACCAATCATATCTTTGGGTGTAATGACAAGATTGCAAATTGACTTAATAGATGTGCTTACCAGACCCGATATTGTAAGTAGGGATATTGTATATTCTTGGATTCTTCATTGTATCGATCATTTTTCGAAATTTACATTTGCTTATTCGCTGAAAAATAAATTAGCGGTTGAGGTTGCGTCGAAACTTCGTAAATTGTGTTTTAGTTTTGGTCCACCACATTTATTATACTCGGATAACGGTGCAGAATTTGTTGCTCCAGTGATTGTTGAACTCACAACACTTTTTCCAGATATGTGTTTTATTCGAGGGAGACCACGACATCCACAATCACAAGGTTGTATAGAACGTGCTAATGGTGTTTTAAGTGTTGCTTTAGGAAAATGGCTTGATACAAACCATTCAACTCATTGATCAGATAGTCTTCTCCCAGCTGTCTACGGTATAAATACTAGGGTTTCATCAACAATAAAAACAACACCTTATGAAACAATGTTTGGGCAACAACCACGCTCAGATTCTGAGTTTTGAAAAATAGTTAAAGAAAATGCTATAGAAGACGAAGATCAGTTACCAACTGCAGTGGAAAGTGATAATATTGTTGAACCGTCTATCATAACTGAAACTCAATCGGATGATTTTGATAATGAGATACAAGAACATAATTTAAACGCAAGTCATTTGATTTCATCTTATTGCTTTTGATTCTCCTCCACAACCATCCCGAACACTTCTTTTTCTCGATCAAATGATACAGCAAGTAATGTACTTCATCTAAATGATAACATTTCTACAATTCTACCAGGTCAAACCAATTATATTAATTCATTTGAACCTTCGAATATTTTTGATGAATTTCTGGCATATTCATCTCAAAATACCAGTTTAGTTTCTATTTCAGCTTCGTATTCACAATCATACACTTCATCCTTAAAAGCAACACCATCTTATTTAGCAACACCATCGTCACCATCACCACGACATGCAGATGTAAGACGTAAAGCGACAGATAATTATTTAGAAACAGCAATACTGCGATAACAAACGCCCGGTTTTTGTGTGCACTGATATAAACGTTGATTTATCTCAGTAATTATTTATGCTAGAAAGGTCGGTTGATTGACGAGTTTAAGCATGACAATTTGGTAAAAAGAAATTTTCTCTAGTTTTATCGGTTAGCGTAGGACGAAACAATCTTTTGAAGAAAAATTCGACTTTCACACAATTTGTGCACCGACATCTTCACTTTTGCTTCCCTCAGAATTCCTGCGAAATAAATCCGTTTGCTCAGAAACTTTTATCTTTTTCAACATCCACAAGTTACATATGGCATAAAAAAATAAGCTCAAAATTTCTTACCGTTCCTGAAAAATTCGAAAATTACGACGAAATGTGCACTGACATTAAACTCAACGTATCCATGAAAACTTGATCGAATTTAGATTTATTATATGCCTATCGACTCATCTTTCTAAGCTGCATCCAACTATATACGCGTGATCGCTCGTCACTCTACTCATATCACAATGGCTTTTACAGCAAAGTAGGACATGGCTATCCTTCATTTATTTTAGTTTCGGGTTGGAGTTACCTTTCTGGAACACTGTTTCTAACGTGAATATATAGTTTACTCTTAACCAAGAACAAACTACAGTTAATCAGTCACCTACATGTATTCCATTTTGTTTTGTTCTGTCCTTTCTTTTTTGGTAGTTGTGTTGTTTCGTTGTTCTTTTTGTTTTACTGTTCCTATCTTTTGGCATGAAGTAGAATGTATATGAGCGAATCGTATATGCGTTGTACAATTACATTTTTTACATGTCTCACCGACAACCTTTTCCCATGTGAACAGATTTCGATGCAATTTTTTGTGTTTGTTACTTACATTTAGGCCCAGCACCGTAGTAAATTTCAGACCGATAAGTACCCTAGTTGCGGAGAAAAGTGAGTCACGCTCTGTAAAAAACCGTTTTTTCGATGACTCATTGATCGAAAAAACCATTTTTGACCGACAAAGCGAAACAAACAAAAAACTTGAATAGCACATTTTGTAGAGCGTCAACCATAAGTGTCTGCTATAATTCAAATTTTTCTTTACATGACTACCTACAGCCACGGCGTAATCATGGCTGCTCCTTCGTTTGGTATAATCTTCACCATTTTTTCTGTTTTACAGAGATTTCTTTCATGTGTTTTTCGCTCCCATGTTCTTAGCTTTGACAAAGTATTTGTTTAAACCTTTGGTAGCGAATCGCTCGCTGACCGAACATGTTCGGTACCGATCCGGCAGAACACACATTCGCTCACATTGTACTTTAGTTAGTCTATTTTCTCACTGATTAGTCCCTTCAAAAACTTCAATTTCATCGCATTTGTCTTTAGTTCAGACTATAGTCCATGCTTATAGGCATGCAACAATCCCAAGCTAGGACTGGCTGATCAGCCGCGAACATGTTCGGTAGCGAGCCGTTTGGCGACCGAGCATATTCGGTTACGAACCGTTCGGTAACAAACCGTTTGGTGCCGATCAGCGAGTCCCAGCTTGGGATTGTTACATACCTACATACAATTATAGCAGAGTTTACCACAAGAATCAGAGAAATCTCACCGTAAGCATTTCACATTTTTCAAAGCGTGCAGTTTACGCTGAGGATATCCATTTCGTTGTTTTTATGCACGAATATTTATTATGTCGACAGACATTATGTGTTTTTGCAGGGATTGTTTTTTTTGTTTAGTAATCTTTTTTACAAAATGGGCACGATGTGATCTACAGAACTTCTGAAAATGAGAAAATAACCTCTCGACGTTGGAAATTGATCAATGCAGGTCCTTTGTCAAACACAAGTCCAGGTTCGGCGTCATAAGCTACATAAGTGGAAAAAAATGTGATTTGGACTTGAAAGTTTTTTAAAGTTCATTAGCATCAGCTGTCCGGCGCCATTTATTCTTAAGAAGAAAAATAATTCTCTCTCATTTCTGTTTCTCTGTTCTTCATATTTCGTTCTCGGTTCTGTTATTCTCTCTAATTATCTCTTTTTAAAGTAACTGAAATAGAAAATCACAGTGAAAGCGGTGTAGTGGAAATCTACTGATTAAATCGATATCTTTTAGCAGTTGTCAGCAGAGACAGAGTCTGTCGACATCGCAACCTGTGCGCAGCACAATTGCTCTCTAGTTTATTTTATATTTCAGTCTATAAGAAAACAAACGAAAATTGTTGTGCATGTTTGAGAGCTAAAGATTATTGGATATGCGAAATATACATCATCTGCTTTATGGTAGAAATGATTGCAAATAGAAGATCATTTATTTTAACAACATGTAAAATACATGTGTTCTACAAGAATGAGCAACAGCAAGCGGATTGTATTCAAATTATATTCGAGATCTGTTCTTTTTTTCGATAGGTAATTGTTTGCTTTATGAGTCTCGATTTTGAATTACGTATGCTAATGAAGTTAAAATGCAAATTTGATCAATCATCTGTCTATCTACAATATATTTTCATCGTTTACAGTATTCACTGTAATTAGATAGATCCTAGCTTATACACTGTAATGTCGGGAATTATTTATAGAAAATGCTCGGCGATTTTCAAAAAGTCCATATATAAATTCCCTGAGGATTTTCTAGATTCTAGAAAATCGAATTTACAAGAAACTTGGAAATTCGAAG